AGGGGCTAGGAGAAGTCCACAGCCCCCCCAAACAGGCCACCACCCAACTGCTGCCGGGAAGCGCGGGCATAGCCGAGGCTGCCTCCTGAGAGGGTCTTTCCCCACAGAACGACGTTGGGGGGGACAAGGTCCTCCAGAAGAAGTGGACCACCTTCCTGAAGGCCCAGCTCTCTTGCAGCCAGGCGGGGCTCTTCCCCCACACCGTCCTCCAGCACGTCTTCGCTCTCCCGCAGCCGGGGGGCGGCTCCCTCTTTTACGGGGTCTTCGCTTCTCAGTGGTAAGAGGCGGGGCGGTTTGCACGGGGGTGGGGTGGGGACGTGAGGCGGCCCCCCCGGCAGCCACGGGGGAGTCTGCAGCCTGCCTCGTAAGGCAGGGGGTCAGTCTCCAACCGGGGCAGCTGGACGACTTGCCGGCTGAGGAACCCCCAGGGGTTGAGGCCTACAAGTCATCCAGCTGCCAAGCTTTGGGGAATCCCGCAATAAAGACCCTGAGCACGTGCAGAGGGCTTTTGGGATGGCTGAGGTGCAGCTGGCCTGTCCATACGACCCCCCCCCTCCCCCCGCAGGCAGACCGGGAGCTCCGGCAGCTCAGCCGTCTGCGCCTTCAGCCTGGACGCCATCGAGAAGGCCTTTGCCGGCAAGTACAAGGAGCTGAACAAGGACTGCTCCCGATGGATGACCTACAGTGGCCCCGCCATGGACCCCCGGCCTGGCAGCGTGAGTGTCCCCCCTCTGCAGGGGAGGGTGGGGTGCCCTGGGTCTCGCCTCCTGACCGTTCTCCCCCCCTTCCCTCCAGTGTTCGGTGGGCCCCTCGTCCGACAAAGCCCTGACCTTCATGAAGGACCATTTCTTGATGGATGAGAAGGTGGCCCCCGTCCACAACCAGCCCCTCCTGGTGAAGGAGGACGTGAAGTACACCCGCATCGCGGTGCACCAAGCGCAGGCGGCCTGCGGGACCGCCTGCACCGTCCTGTTCCTGGGCACAGGTAGGGCGGGCTCCCTCCACCTGGAACGGCGGAGTTGGAGGGGACCAGGGGTGTCCGGCTGGATTTCTTGGAGGGCCGGATCCGCACTGCAGTTCCCCATGGGTCGAGGGGAGGGGGAGGAGGCGGGACAGGCGCCCCCTCGCCCTCCCT